GCTGGAAGTGAGGTGGGGGCCGGCCGGGAGAGCCCACGTCCTGCGAGCCTCCACACACGCTGCATACTCCTGCGCCCCTCAGTCCCGGAGAGTGCCCGGCGTCCTGTCCTATGCCCCCGGCGCCCGGCTCCTCTCACCTCGGGTCCGCTCTGTGCAGCCGTCAGAGGATAGGACAAGCCTAACAGGAGAAGGAAGGGAGGCTGCTATGCTGGGGGACTGGGTTAGGGCAGCAGGTAGTTGGGAGGGGAGGAAAAGGCGCAGTTGTGTTGCAGCGTGTAGTGGGGCCTGAGCCCTGATGGATTTGGATGCAACTCGGGTTCTCTGCCCTTAGCACAGGGAGCACTGAAATCAGGAGTAGGCAAACCTGACTAGTTTTAAGCTGAAGCTTGATAGTTCATGAGAAGTGTGACATGAGTTGTTTTGTCTTGTGGAGTGACTCTGGCAGCACCCAATCCTGATGAACTCTTGGGGCATGCTTTTCTTCTCAGTACCAGGCCTTGTGAACCTACTCAGTCTGTTTGTGACCGCATCTCTGTACTGTTTTACACAGACTGCTTCAGCCTCAAGAATTTCCCTCATCACTCTGTAACTCCTAAACCCTGCTGTCATCATCTTCTGGCATTACTCTTAATTTTCCTGATATTCTAAGTTCTTGCTCTTGCCTTTCTCACAGCATCTTAACCTGCATGTCAGAGACTTTCAGATATCCATTTCCCACAAACATAACCCACACTATATCCAAAACCCACTTTTCTTCCACAGAAGTTTGTTTGGTAATCAAACAAATTGCTTTTTGGTCCTGAACAAATAGGATCTGTAGATGAATTAAGCCCTCTCTGTCCCACCTTGGTTGAGGCTTTCACAGCAATCTGGGATGTTTAGACATATTTTCTGTGTAATGGGCCAGTTGTTTAAACTTCCTTGCCCTTTTTAAATATTTCAGCTGCTTCATCAAAGTTTATGGATGCTGTGGGACATAGATCTATAATTAGAGGTGCAGCACCTTGTAATGGGAAAAAATTAATTGTTCTAGATTGTTTTGGTTTTTTACTATTAATAGAAGAAATAGACTTCAGCCTTAACTGTTCTGGTACTTGCAGAATAAAAAAAAAATCATCTGAAGCTGTCATTGCTATTCAGAGGAGGTCCCTTGTGTAAACTGTTTTTATGTGGAAGAGCTGTGACTCAGGTTTTCTGCTTTGTGAAAACACTGTTATGAAATTAAAATATTATGCTAAATATATATATGAAAATTAATTTAAGCCCTTGTGAATACAAAGCAAAGTCCATTTCCATAAAATACACACGTTTAAAGTTTGCCTTTCTTATAAGTTAATGTTAGCAGTAGTAGTATGTGTATCAGTTGCAGAAGAAAGCAACAGAAATTATTTTGCAGTGGGCAGTTGGAATGCTGGTCTTCAGAAAACACAGAACTTTGACAAAACTCATGGTTTTGTATAATCTGTTTTGTGTGAACTAGCATTTTGCAGTGACAAAATGCTCTGTAAGGAAATTTCCAAGGAACTCTAATTACTTTGCCCCATCTACATTTCACCAGCTGGCAAAGTTTGTGACTGAAATACTTCTGACACAGTGTTTATACAGAACTGGAGACAGACACAGCATGGAAAACTTAAGAGAGCCACAGCTAATTACCTGACTCAGTGTGTACTGCACCAGTCATAGCTGACATGATCAAATAGCAGCCTGCATCCTTGTCTCCTTGAGCCATTACTGGCTATATAAGGATGATAAATTGCACTGTCATCCCATTAATTTATCCCTGCATACGTGCTTTCTAGATTTCCTTTTACCTCTGCAAACAGAAGTTAAAAAATACTTCATTTCCAGTGATTCAGCTCTACTGTTGAGGAAAGCATAGAGCTGAGACTCTGAGTGTGTTTGTAAAGATCTGCTTATGTGCCATGGCACGTCATACACCTAGTTCTTGTGTAAAAGATCCAGAAAAACCTTCATCAGCTGAAATGTCTCCTCTATGTTGCCATGGTATTCAGTTCATCCACACGAGCATGTGGTTAGTGTGCTCCCACTCCCCTCTGGCTTCACTTACTCCTCTGGTATGTAGCGACAGGCCAAGAACAGAAACTACTCAGAAAAGATAATTAGAAATTATTGCTGGACATAAATATTTGAAGACTAGTAATTTAAAAATGTTCCTAACTATGAGAGTGCTGAGGCTGAAATACAACCTTTTAGTAAGAATACAGAGGATCAGCAGCTGAGCTGACCTTATGACTAGTGTTCATGAAAAGCGCATAAAACCGCTGCCTTGCAGTTGCTGAGGACAAAGAGAGCCAAATGCTCTTGTTTGGAAGAAGAGACGGAAAGTTTCTGAATGGAACTTAGAAGAGAAGGTGCCAATGGCAGCGTGATACACAGAGGGTATCAGTTACACTGCTGAAACTTTTCTGCCATGGCACTAGCAGCCTAAGCTGTAGCTCAGTCAGACATCTTCACGTGGGGGTAAAGGGAAATGCTTTTTGTAAGAGGACCCTGCTGTTTACCCACTCTCTTTCTAAAAGGTAAAAACATCTGCAGGCAGTTATGAGATTGTCGATACGTTGTAAGTTCATAAGCTGACTCCTCTTCAGTAATTCATTTCAATTCTTGGGCAACACATCCTGTTTACATTCCAGAGATTTACTGTGTTAAAGTACTGCTATCTTTAAAGCAGAGCAGTCCTCCTGGTTAGGTTCATATAAGCACAAGCCATGCCTTTGTAGTTTTTATTTGACAGTGATGAGATGAACTATGAAAGCGTAAAAATGTTAAGTAAGCCCCATTGGGTCCCAAGTATGGATTGTACCTGTGTAATTCATTCAGAATAAAGATATAATATCATTATGATATATGAGTACAAAAAAACAGAGCCAGTGAGCTGGCTAATGTTATTTTTAGTGAAAACTGAAAGAAATATAAGCATCTCTCCATATTATGACAGTCCTTTGTGGTCCATCAAGGTAAGATTGACCCCATGTTTTTGGAAACACTGAACTAGTGATTCTTAATACTAGATCTTGAGGTTGTTGTAATTTTGCAACTATGGTATGCTTGAGGATAAGACTAACATCCCAAGCATCCATTTAGCGTATTTTCGGCTACAGTATTACCTTCTTCACAGTATTTTGAGAAACTTGTGTCTTTGGTTAATGTTTTAACATTCAGTTGCTCTTTCTTTAAGTTGGGTTCAGGGATTCTCAAACAAGAACTTTGGCTTCGTCAACAAGCAAACTGTCTGCTACCCTTGTGGCAATTACATCCTCTTCCTTGACATCGAAACAAAGAAGACAACAGCACTGCAGTGTCAGACTGGCCAGGTGGGAGCCTTCGCGGCAAATGGAAACAGTCAAGTGGTGGCCTTTGCAGACCGGCAGCTGAATCCCATCATATATATCTACACTTTTCCGGAACTGAGTAAACTGACAGAATTAAAAGGTAGTGATGTGGTAACCCTCCCCGTCACCACTTCATTAACGCAAGACTTAAGTCATCCCATTTCCGAGTTCTTTGTTGCTTTGAGTTTTTTATAAGACTTGGGAAATGGTGTGACAGAAAACTGTCTTGTGACAAGATGCATGGAAAGCAGTGGAAGGAATTTTCCACTGCACTACTTTTAGTTAGTCTCAAGCTAGAGAGGCTTGTGACCATACAAAATGGAGCTGTTTTAAAAGGAAAACAGATGGAATGAAATGGAGTTAATTTTATGAAAATACAGTCAGAATAACAAAAAAAAGCATACTGCAGTAGGCTCCCAAGCAGATTACTGAAAGCCACATTGAGAAATTTAAGATGCAAGAGGATTGAGGATTCTTGCAGTTAAGTTTTGGAGTCTGAGTTCTAATGTGTATTTTTACTTGCCTCATAACATTTCTTTTCTTAGTTAAATTGCTTATGCTACCCATGTTTCAGTTTCCATTTAAATAAAGATCATATTATTTATTTCCTGTGTATGAATGAAGTTACGACTGCAAAGGATTTCAGGGTACTTGGGGAAACCATACTTTGCAAATTCAAGGTACAATTGAAAAAAAAAAAAAATTAAAAAAAAGTCCGAGAAGTGATACATAGGGAATATTTTAATGATCAAATCAAGACAATAATTCAGAGTGAAGCAAAGAAAAAGAGGGCCCAAAGAATGTCTCTGAAGAAATAAAGTGGATATAAAGGAACTGAGTACTCTATATGTGATAGTATACAGTAAAGTCCAGGGCAATTGAAGACCATATTCTTTATTTTTACATTTCAGGTATTGCTCAGCTGGACTATACCTTACTTGCATTTAGTTTCACAGGCCCATATCTGGCCAGTTACTCTTCAATCCCAGAATTTGTGCTTTCAGTATGGTAAGAGTAAAAAAAATTCTCTAATACCATGTATATTTAATTCATATTTATTTGAATGTGCTGTTTTAGCATAAATTAAGTTAACAAATATGGAAGACACACTGGTTGCCTTCATCTCATTTTATTTTTCTGATTGATCTTTGTATGCAAACTTTCTGTACGAAATCTGTTGTTTATATTCTAGCATTAGTAGCCACTAGTTACAATGTTCCTTTGCTACAGCTATCTTCTTTCTTTGACATTTTGTGTTTTGGAGTACTTCTGAAGCCTTCAGCATCACTTCATTATCTCTTCACCTTTGGAAGATGAGTACCATGCTGTCTGTGAGAGGAAGGGGCCTGCTGAAAAGAAGAAAACTGTTCTAAAGCCGATTTCTACCTTTTTTTTTTTGTCCCCCTGGACTGCTCATTAGTCCTCTTAATTACTTATGCTTCATTTTAGTTTTGTCTTACAGTTTTGTTCAGTAATTCCACTTCCATGGGTCACTGGGTTAGATCATAATTTTCTGCTCATTGGTATGAAAAGAAATATTATATAATATGCAGACTCAGAAAGTTAGAATATCTAATTTTTTTAATTGTTCCATAAAAATATAATCCTGCTCTTGCCTCCATTGCCAGCAAGCTTCTATTGAGCGTGGAGTTTGAGCACTTCTCCAAAACAAATGGGGAGGGTGGAGTAGGAGGAAGGCAAGCAAGGACACATAAGGGATATTCTGTATACTTCCAATTTGGCAATGGCCTTTCTTGTACAGTGATTAATGAAGAAGCATAAACTACTGTAATTTCAAAATGGTAGTAATGATATTAGATACTGTTACAGATGCCTCTTCTCTGTGTCTCATGAAGAAAAACATCTGCTGTGAACTCTGATCCTACACAGTAGTTCAGGAAGGATGTCTGTGTATACCACAACAGAAACCAACCAGAAAGCCTCACTAGCCTAAAGAGCTTGCCTATTTGTCACAGCAGAAATAACACACATGGTCTAATATGTTCATTGTGTGCACTTAAAAAAAATCCACCTTCTTGAAAGACTTCTCTAGATTATTCTTAAAAATGGAAATATCTAGAAGTGTTTAAAAGCTTTAAAGTACTGGCAATTTCCAAGGCCAAACAATTTAAAGCTATCTGAATCAGCATGAATAGGACTATCGGCAGATAATTGTCATAAAAGAACTCTCCTAGATTTCAGTCAGAAAGAATAGAATAAAAATAGAATTACCTTACAGTATTGAACTTAGAATATATAGTAACTTGAACAGAGGTGTGTGAATTTACTGTGAGATTGGGACCTTAATATTTGCAGTTGAATTATATTGTGCGTTCGTTTAAAAATGTGTGTGTCCAGATGAAAGAAATCTCCATGTTTAGCATTCTTAATGTGTCATTACAATGCAATGATTGCACAGTTCCTGCATTTTAAGCAGATAGTTTGGAATCAGAGGTATAAGAGATGTTTTGGAAGTTCTGTCACTCTCAAAATATAGACAGCTTATGGATAACTAAAAGCTCCCTTTCCTGTGAGATATTTTATCCCTAGATCTTTGTTCTTTTTTATTCAAAGGAGAGGCTTAATGCCAGGTTCTTTTTTAGATACATGTACAATATAGTTTCAGATCTTAATGAATTATCTACTATAAAGGAGTGTTGGCACTATCTGTTAGGTATGAGAACATGCTGACAGATCTTTAGAGAGAGAGGCTACACTGATATCTTTTAATGTCAAAATTGCATCTTATAGCTTTCTCTAATATTAATGAGAGTTACTATGTATGTAACTTCTATTTTTTTGCATATGCCATCAATATTAACCATTGTCTCGCATCCTGATCTGTTTCTGTGAGTGAATTTATTACAGGCCAGAACAACAGGATTATACTAAATCCATTTACAGCAGTGTATGCAATTTTTTCCCCTCTCAGCAGTAATGACAAATGCTGAAGCTGTAATTCTTAGTTAGATTAAGAGTCAGATATATTGTCCTGGAAATTAAGAAAGAGTTTCAAGCATTTTCTTCAAATGATGTTAATCAGTTCTTGGACAGCACCTAAAAATGCAAATACAGTCAAGAATTAATCTCGATAATGGAGAAATATGCAAACTGGTGGTGAGAACATAAAAGAGGTTGCACTGGACAAAAGAAAAGTCAGTGGAAAGCAGATTTCCAGGCTTATGTCAGCTCTACGTAACAGCCCCACACAAATTCTGCCCTGTTTTGTGTTCAAGTTAATGCAGCCACAGCTTGTATGTCTGCATTCACAACACAATTACTGTGTTATCTACGTAATTCATCCATAGATAATCACAGGCTGTGTTTTATTTTCTAATTACAATACCTTCTAACTGCAAGCCTGCAAGTATTATAATCGTTTTACGGATTGGAAAAGCAAGGCTGAGGTCTGAGGTGCTGAAGAGTTAATTTTTGGGGCCTGTTCAAATAGTCACTGATGGAACTGATGAAAAACAATCCATGTTACTTGACTCTGTTGGTCTTTTCACAAGAGGAAATGCATCATAATGTTTCTAAAATGTCAGATTTCAAAATTAGTTCACTATTTAATCCTTTCGTAGCAATAATAATTTTATGTGTGCTCATTAACTACCTCCTTTTCATTCTAAGGAGGACCTAATGTGTTTGACAGCGGGATTTTTTTGTCAGTGACTAAGTATTTGTTTTCCAAACTTGATCTTGAATGTCAGTTATAATCACCGATGTGGATCTTTGGCTTGAATGTTTTTGACTTATTCAATGATTTTCTTTTACTCTCCTTAATGAAGGAACTGGCAAGAAAATATCCTCCTGTGCAGTGAGTCTCAGCCAGGGGTAACAGCGACCTCTTTAAGTTTCAACCCTATGGATTGGCAACAGCTATGTTTTGTTAATGAGAGCTCCGTTACTATCTGGCATATTGAAAGGAATAATGATGAGTATCACCTTAAGCAAAAGTAAGTGGAACACCCTTCAGGTTAAAAGAAAAATCTGGAATTATATTTTAATATCTAAGAATAGCAACCTACATCTGTTTGCAAAGAATTTAATCTCGTTTAGTTCACCTAGCAATTGCAATCGGTAATTGCTAAATCAAAATGAGTGTAAATCTATCTAGTCAACCAAGTGAATTGAATTTATGATTTCATTTCATAGCACTCACATGTCTAGATTATGCACGTCAAGAAGCTAATACTAATCAGCTGCTTTGGCAGCCTCTATCAAAAGCTGCATGACTGAATTAAGGTAGTGCCTGGAGGGCTTTCCTGCAAGGGGCTGTGTTGAGCATTGCTTATGTAGCTATGAAACCACCAGATTTGGATTAAATTGCTTCCTAGTCAGCATAGCTAGGCAACATGTTGTTGTAATGACAAATGGTACCAAAAGCAGAATTAGTTTTCTGTGTGATTTCCAGCTCATGTGGCCAGGTTACAGAGCCACTGGGCGGATGGGGGGTGACTCTGTTAATGCAACTCACTGAGCACAGCAGACCTAGAATTTACGTATAGAATCATAGAATGGCCTAAGCTGGAAGGGGCCTTAGAGATCATTTAATCCAACTTCCCTGTCACGGGCAGGGATGCCTCTCAACTAGATCAGGCAACACGTGGGTACTTATGCTAAAATGTTTTTTGATGCTTGTATAAAAGTAGCATGTCCTTGAAGTGTAACACCTATTCTGTCTCAGTAGCAGCTACTCTACAATTTCCAAATGTGTTTAATCTCATTAACTGTGATTGTAACCAATGTATTGCCACTGACACAGTTATACTAGTGAAAGTATAGACACGACCTTCAATTTACAATCTGAAAAGAGTACTGAAGAGTGTTTCACCTTTCGTACACATGTGAAAATACATATATACTCCTTTTTCCTCAATTTTCATTCTATTCAGTGGAGTTTAAATCTCCACTGAGAACCGTTTATTTTACATATTTTTTCCAAGTCGTAAATCAACAGTTTGTAAACTATAGAATCCTCAACTCCTGCACGTTAGAGCCACTCAGATACCAATTGCCAAAGTGCAACAGGCAAATACTACTAATAGTATTTTATCATCATTAAACTTTCTCCAAATAAACATCAAGCATGAACCACCACAGCATATGTAAATTAAGTGTGTGACCTTATTATTCCTGGTTAATAATGAAACAGTAACATAGAATAGTAGTTTACACAAGGCAACAAGAAAAGAGATTGAGCTAGAACATGACAGTCCATTTCTGCCAGTTACAAACATTCCTCCTTTGTAGTAGAATTACTATTACTTTTCAGTGAAATGGTATGTGCTGTGTAGAATGATTCTCTACAACGTTCCTCCCTTTCTCTTGCAGAAGTAAATTACCTGCATTGGTGTCCCAAAATTTTGAAAACATGCTTCTTGGTTTTGTATCAGCATTTACTATTCATAATATTTCGTCTCCTCAGATAGTGTCTCTGCTTTTTCACAGCCCTGTGAAACTCCCTGATGGACGAGGGTCCCTGAGTTCTCATAAGGACTTGTTTTTCCCAGTTTCTCATAGTGAAGATTCATACCATGGCCCTGATTTGCCAGTTTCAGCCATTGCTGGACTGGTAGGAGATGAAGCAGAAACATTCATGGTAATTACTGATTTTTTCCTTTTTTACTATTCCAAGTCATTGTACTTTTTGTGCAAATAGGGGTTAATAAATTTAATGTGTGTTGAACAGGTACAACACAGTAAATAGATCTGTTGTCCTAACAATATTTTTGAAATCCATTTTGACAGGAGACTTCGAAGGCATGCTGCTGCTGCACCGAGCAGTACAATGTAGAGATTTCTGATACAGGTCTTAGCACAGTACTACAGCTGTGCAGTGGAGCTGCTCAGCTGTACCCCAGACACAGTATAAGCCTGTCGGCATTTAACCACACCCAGGCTAATATTACTTACTGAGACCCTGAAAACTTAGTCCCATGCTAAACTGATAGTAACCTTCAGGTATCCTTCCTTCCTCTTGGGATTTGTTTTCTTTTTGACTCTGAAAATGTCCCAAGCTATGGAAACATTGAAGGCTTTACTCCAGACAGCAGCCTCCACTTGTGAGATACATTCTCATACCACTGGCAGTGCTGGACCTGCCCATTTATCTCACTTCTGTTTGATCATTTGCTTGTTGGCCTCCGTTGGGATGCCTTTTGGAGAGGCTTCAAAAGTGTTCTCATTTTGTTTGAAATTTACTTTTGCCTGACTACCAACTAGAAGCATCTGCCAGCGTGAAAACATTTAACTTGCAAATCTGGGATTCTCTTCAAAGATTATGACCATCAACTTCTGTTTGGTGGCTTGTGATATATGTATGAGACACCCAGACTACGACGCACAAGATGATACTGGCTTTAAATTATGTCATTTCAATGGACAAATGAGAGCTCAGTTTTACTGGATTAGTGTACCACCAGTTTCTGCCATAAACTTTTCTTATAAAGCAGAATTAAAAATTAAAAAAGGGAATTATATTTTCCTGACCTAATTCTCTTTTCATGGCTTCATGCATTTAGATTTGCAGAGTTTTTTAACCATCTAACTGCTGATGCCGTTGATTTCCAGGACAATCAGTAACTACAAATAAACATCCACTACTGATTCAGATTGCACATGAACTACTTATATTTCAGATCACTTAGAACATAGAAAATGAAGATAATATATGCTCATCAGGGGCATTGCCTTTTTCTTCTGCCTTATTGCATCTTATGTGCAAATGATGAACTGCAAAAGCGCTTTGTGCTTTAGCCTGTAAAGTGGATTATGAGAGGTACTGGGGAAAAAAACAACTGCCATATTAGGTGTGTGAGGTGTGATGGAATTTGTCTATCCTTGAACAGATACTTTTCCATGGAATGGTAGGTTCTTATACTTGAACTTGCAGAACCATGTTGCAGACTTTGCCACATGGAAAAGTTGGTGCTTTTAAGCATACTAGGTAGCACTGTGAGGTCTTTGCATTCCCAATAGCCTTTGGAAAAAATAGATTTCTTTTTATCACCTTCCAAGTGATTATGTTCTTATAAATAAAAATATTTCTAGAGTAAAACTAGATTGTTCTACTAGTCTTTGATGAAGATTTCATTTTCTTTCAAATTACATAGTAAATATTTTATAGTTATTTACTATCCAAATTCCCTAGGTAGGTGTATTGTGGTTGTGAATATTGACAAGGTAACGAACATCAGGCTATTTAGAAATGAAAGTTTTTTGCAGAAATACAAACTGTTGTTGTTCCTTTCGTTGTGGTGGCAGTATGTTGTTTCCTGTGCACTAAATTGTGAGGTGCTACACTCACAGTTTAGCACCAGGAGGCATTGAATAAATTTCTGGCATGTTTTCAACTTGCTCCAGACCATGATAGCTGAGTAATTTTTTGCAGGACTCACATTTATTGTGCCTTAAAGTACTAATTCTCCCCTCCATGCATGCCTGTGCCTGTATGCTCCATCTCTAACCTAGCAGAAAAACCAAACCACTGTTAGATCTTGCAACCCCCACACTGGCCTTTTGTCTTGTCAGGTTAAGCACCCCTTTCCAGCACCACAGCGAGGAACATATAGTTTTGGCAAAGCAATTCTTGCACAAATTGATCAGAATATACTTGATGGAGAAGATATTTCTTCAAAATATTGTTTTATCAAAATGCTTATGTTGAAAAGTGGCTAATGCAGCAACTTGAAGAGAAATTGAAATGACCAAACTTGCTTTGTTCCTCAAATACTTTCAGACTACAGTTGTTGTAATGGAGAAGGCTGTCCGAAATAGTGGTGCTATAACTACCCTTCTTCACTGTATAACTTGACAGGCTGCTGCGGCAGGTGTATCAATGGTTACCATCACTGATGATTTATATCTCATTGCAAATGTCCATGAGTAGTTATCTGACTCTGGCCTAAAATCTGTGCCTTGACGTTTGTAAATACCTTGGAGTTATTTTCGTAATGATAGTAGTATCATCGGTGCTTTTTCAATTAGTAAAGACACAGCCTGCTTCTCCTGTGGTGGTTAATGAGGTGCTTTCATGTCAAATGCAGTGGAAATAGTATCATGGCCTGATGAAGCTCTTCCTATCTCTGCAGAATTCGACAGAAGGACTTTTGTTTGTCACTAAATTCCAATCAGTTGAGAACAATGTTCTCCACACTGATGTAAGCATCCGAAGTGGAGAACCGTTTATTTAGACTATTATTTAAAGGATTTGTCCTCAACCTATAGCCCATGGTCCTTGGAGACTGTAGCCCACCCCTAAGGAATGTGTGGGAGGCAAGTAAGGAGAGTGAGCCCATTGCCAGTTTATTTGTGGCTTTGAAACGCGCTAGGGTTCCATAGCCTAGAAGATCCTGGGGCTGGCTGTGTACCAAAGAGTAACCACACCGGGGCAGCAGAGTGAAAAGAATTGAAATAGCCTATAGCTTTTAATCTTATTCTTTCTTGGGTTACATTGATTTAGTTTTGTTTCAGTATTTATCGTTGGGCCTTGAGTTTTCTGAGTATGCTTTACCATGGCAAGCTGCTTGACTCCACTTCACCCCCAGTATCAATTTTATTTCATCGGTTTTTTATAAAATTTCTCATGACAAGGATCCATCATGGATTTTTGTTTCCTTGAAGAGGTACTCACAAGGGAGAGAAGTTCAACAAAAGACAGCACTATTATTATTATTATCCACCACCAAACCAATGCGCTGTTCAAGAAGCAACCTTGTTTTGGATTTACATAATCTCATCCTAGGATTATTAGGATTATTGTTGCTTTGCAATAATTAGGATTATTGTCTAGTTTATATGTAAAGACAGTAAAGACAGCAGGTACAAAGGAGCATTACAGAAGTTGTCTTTAGACAGGAAGCTTCTGATTCACAGTAATTCTTTTACAACTTTTCCAAAGATTTGTGATGTTCAAGTCACATAAAATCAGAGAAAATGTCTATATTAAATATTTGTCTTGGTGATGTAAAGCTCCATTTGTTACAGATTTATTCCTGTGAGTCCTACTTGATTTATAAAGCAAATATTAATATACTTTATTTCTGTAACATTTTTCCCCTGAGAAATTAAAAGTGCTTTGTAAACATAAATTGAGAGTAAGTTACTTACCTAGAATTGCACAGCAAGTCCTTTACATATATTACTAATGAAATCTAGGTCCTTATGACTCTCTTTCCTACGTTTTTATTGTAAGTCCATCCATATTTCCTCTTTTTATAGAACTTCTACTGAGACAGCAGGTGTTTTAGACTTCTCTTTTTCACCTATCATATTGTCTAGTGTTCCTTGCCACTTCTGCTCACATGCATGGTTCTTTTAATCTCTCTTAAACATTCTCTAGAGGTGTTCTTGTGTTTTCTTCCCCTTTTCCTCTCCCCAGATTTCTCCAATCTGGTTCTTTCTCTCATGATATTTACATAACCTGTTGCTGTTGTATCTGAATAGGTCACTGTCTTTAATAATATATGGTGGAGAAGGTCTGTTCTTCATGTTTCATGGATCATGGCTTTCTTTTAGTGGAATGAAATTCAAGGCACTTGGGAAGTCTATGTCAGGGATGTTTGTAGAACTAATTTGCAGGTGACAGAAAGGTTGACAAAGTTGTTTTACAGAGCAATTTGGATTACATGATAAGGTAAACTATTCAAACAAAATGTGTTGTAGTACTGCCAGGTATGCAAGACCACATGTGCAGGTTATGTCTACAAAGTGGAAGGTTGTTCTGAAAAGCAGTTGGAAAAGCATTTTTCAGGGTGAGGTCATGGTGGGTAACCATTTCAATTCAGGCTTCCAGTGCTATTGTGATATAAAAATAATAATTAAAAAAACCAGGAGCTCAATGTGTTGAATTTTATCATAATTTTATCATTAAAAAACTGTGAGATGAGCTTGTTATGATAAGTCAATATCTCTGAGAGGGTATGAAGATACCGAAGGAATTTCCAAGCTAGAGGTCAAAACAGTAACACATGCAAATACTGGAGAATAAATCCAGATAAACTCAAATTAAAAAAAATATGTAATTTTCAGTGAAAACATAATTAATCATTTGAACTAACTTCTAGGGAGAGATGAGTCCTCCACCACTATCTCCAGACATAGATTTTTCTGGAAAATGTTCTTGTTTCTCAAATTACTAGCCTCAGTGAAAGGATGACTGAATAAAATAAGGCTGGTTTTGTGTAAGAGATCAGACTCTGTAATGTAGTGATTTTTTTTTTTTTTTGCCTTAAAATATACGTAAGTGCTTGTACAGATAGTTGTCAGTTGATGATTGAACTTGTTTATTTTTGTGTTGAAGCCCAGAAGTTATATTAAGCCTTCAGTACACCCTACTGCCCACTGCTGGACTGCCACCTCAGAAATTTACCTGGGCTGTAAGGAAGGACATATTTTGACAATTGATGCTGCGAGGTCACACAGTGTTTCTGTTCTTCAACAAAAACCTCTACCTGGTAAGAAATAGCTGTGTTGTGTGTTTTATTCAAGTAGGGAAGAAAGCAATGAAGTGAAAGGTTTTTTTGCTTTCTTCCATTCTCTATTGTGTTCCTTACAGAAATTGTAAAGCTATCTTGTAGAACCTTATTTCTTTTATTAGGATGATAAACATTTGAGATAGCCCTTTAAATTTCTGTGTGAGTTTCTTTAGCACCCAATAACAGGCTTTCACATGACAAATGCTTGATAGCTTTTCTGCTAATACAGCCAAATGAATAGCCTCAGGAGAAACAGTGGCAATAAAATAATTTCTGTTCATTCAAATTTAAATTGGAGCAAGTGATGCTAGAGTAGGCTCCCTCCTGCTTAGTTTTAGTACTTTTTTTTAGAACTGCAATCACTTGTAATTTAGTTGAGTTAGGATTTAGGGATTTCTTTCAAACATTTTGGTTTGGGCTCCACAGTACAAAAAAAATATTACTCATAGTGGACGAAGTTGAGCACAGGGCCACAAAGATTATTGAGGAGTCTCAGTGTACGACATACAAAGATGGGCTAAGAGAACTATGTTTATTCAACCTGGAGAAGCTACCTAATAAAAGGTTATAAAGGAGATGGAACCAGATGGGAAAAGGGCACAATTTGCACCAACAGACATTATGAGTAGATATTATGAAAAAAACATGCTTTCACACAGTGAAAGTATGGAAAAGATGCTCAGAAGAGCTATGGAATTTCCATTCTTGAGTATATTCAGACCTAAGCTGGATATGACGGTGGGCAATGTAACCTAAATTTGAATTTCCAACCTAAATGACTCTATGATTCCGTTATTGAAAAATTTTAATGTGGCCATTTAGCACCCTTTACAAAACCAAGTGATTTCTCAAATTAATTTCTAGTTCATCAGTTCACAGTAGTATTGTCACTTCAAACTATGTATACTGACTTTCTCCTTCATCATGACAGCAAAAAGCCCAAAGAACATATAGCCCCTGGAGCCTTTTTACTCACAGGTAGTAAATCACCCCAGATTTGAATTTGAGACACTTTGCAAGAAATTAAATTTGATATTTTTTGTTGGTTTTGTGCTCTCAGGTGACAAACCAAAGGATCTGCAAAAACCAGTGTTATTTGCCATGGCATTTTGTAAGGAGGGGCTGTATGCAGCTGGAAATGTAAGGCATCCCTTATGCTTTAAACTTATTCTTATTGTGTGAAAATCAAAGAACATTCAAATGGAGTACATTTGCAGAGTTCATGGCAAAGATGAGAATTTAAAAAAAAGAGGAGGTCTACAGAACTATAAAGGTCCTCTCTGGTGTTGTATGTATTTTCTTTGTTAAGACTTCAGACAAGAAATCAGAAGGGAACAGGATGGGAAGAGATTCCATTGTTGTAGTCAAAGAAGCGACAAAAGAGGACAATCCTATTTTTAACAGAAGACAAAGAGTATTCTAGAGGAACAGAGAAGAAGGATGGAGAAAATATGGGAGAGGAGAGAAAATGGACAAGAGAACTGCCAAATTGTTTTGTGCAAAATGTAACTCGTTATTTAACCCAAACTGACAATGCCATTGCACGTTGCTGCTTATACTGTCTCGAAAACCCCAATATGAAATCTTAAATATTAACTGATGAGAGAGTCTGTTCAGTAGATTTATTATTCAGGGTAAGAGTCCTCTGGATTTAAATGTACTAAAGGCAAATGAGATAATTAGTAATGGGTTACAGTTAAACGCTGTTACTTTAGAGGTTTTCAGAAGTTCTTGCAGTTCAGTTTGCCAGAGTGGGATGGGATTAATGACCCAGACCTCATGTGGATTTGTACTTTTCTGCACAGGAGGGCATTTTATTCTTTTATCACATCAAAGATCTACAATATGAGAAGAAAATCTGCACAAATATCTTACAACCCATATCCAGCCTCCTGTTCTCTCCAGATTACACCATGCTTCTGCTTGTCACTGACCAGGTACAGCATTTGAGATACCAGTGGTACATAATGGGATATTCCTATGATTCTCTATGTGTATGCCGATATTATTAGTATGAAGTGTCTGTAATATAATCACACAAGTCAACAAATTTTATCAGAGTTGAACTTAGTCCATCTCATGTATTTAATGAAAGGTTAGATAGAGTTTTAATGGAGCACAGAACAGTTGTCTCCTACAGATTGTGGCTTTGGTCACACACTCTAGCTGATTGTATTCTCCTTTTGTAAAATGAGTAGGGAAGTTCTAAAATCTTTATCAATATTAGTCTTTATCAATATTAGTTATGAATTGTTTCTAATTGGCTTTGAAATATTTAGATAGAAACATCTCTTAAAGCTTAAGATTTTTTATTTATGCTTTATATTTTTTAGGATATTGATTCATGAAGTAACATGAAATAAGATGGGTTTAAGTTATTTTATTAAAGCAATTCTGAAAAGCAAAACTTCTTGAAAATGTGACTAGCTAGATCACTCTAAAATGACCTAACCCAGTTTTCATCTAGTGTAAATATAATCCACTAAATTCAGCTGAATTCTCCTGGGCACTTCTTACCTCAGTTTAGAGTCGAATATATATGTTTAAAGAGTGAAGGTCAGAAAGATGGGTGTTTTTTGTTGAAGTCTTTGAAAGCTTTTAATGAAAAGTGATGGATTTTTTCTCTTTATTTATCAGGGGACAGTATATATTTACAATCCTTCCCACAGTGAAGAAGCTGTCAAACTTTTGGACACATGCAGCAGTTGTTTTCTGGCAGCTGGTTTTCTTACTCCAGAGAACAAATACTGTGTGGTAAGAAATGGTATTTCTTGTGTGTAATAGTGGCACTTTTCAGGTAACCAATATGCTGCTAAGTCACAAAATCAAAAGCCTTGCAGAAACTGAGACTGTTCTGATATTTGTTAAAGTTGTGGAACTTCTCATTAAGGAAGTAAATTGCATTAATTTGGGTACAGCCTATAAAAAGGTCAGAACTTGCTCCAGAAGGCAGGGTGGGTAATTTCACAGATGTGAACGTCATTGGTTCTGCTGTTGATTTGTGTAACTCACTATTGTTTGGGAACATAGCTGAGCAAAAGAAGGATTCAATTAAGAGACTAGATGTTTGAACAAGAAATTCCTCCTGATCTTTTCAGCCTTCAGCACAAATCAGAACAGTCTGAGATGCCTTTTTACTGAGTCCAGGGACAAAGAAGGACTTACTCATGGATCTCACCATTCTGAGAAATTCCTTCCTTTCCTCTTGGACTTCTTGGACTTCTACAAGATGTATATTTTAGCCAACATAACTGATTCATCTCCAAACCATGAATTCTTCAAGTAGCCAGCCTGGGGTCTTAATTAATTATTTTTTCTGAATCTGTCTGTTGTTAGCGTGGGAATGATAAATTTTGCCTGACTGTGAATGAGTAATGTGAGGGTTAATTAGTCTCTAGCCATACTTTACTGTAGAATTACAAAATGCCCTGGCTATAAGAAGACCTCGAGCACCATTATGTTATGCAGAATTTTTCATGTGAGAAAACAAGAACACTAAGCAAAAAAAAATTATAAACAGATTTTTCTATTGCTGGCTGACTGGTGGGAGTGCTATTATTGACCAAGCTTACAAGTTTTGCCCTCAATTGTCTCATTCTGCTTAAAGACCATTCCTGTAGTTGCTGCAATTTGCAAAAATTAAACACATTTTCCTTAGGCAGTTGTGTACCTTGCATCAACTGGATTTAAGGAAAAGCAAGGTAATTCCAAGAAAAATCAGTAACCCTTGACCTGCTAGGCTCAGACATTAGTTGAGTTTATATTCTATAAGAGACCACTAGTCACTTCTAGAGCATTTGACTATGTTTTCCTCTGTTCAACAGTCAGTTACAATTTCAGGTGAAGTGCAAGTTTGGTTCCTGGAAGATGGAACTTGCCTCAGCAAGCTAAACCTTGATATTGAGGTACACGTAACCAGGAGCTTTTTGTATTTTTTGTTTAACATTATTCAATTCATAGCATAATATTCCACTGGGTGCTGAAGAAAGCTCAGTAGCGTCTTTGAACAACCCATGAAAAAGATTTTAAAAAGATTATCTTTCAAAATGTTTAATTTGAAGTAATCATGTATTTAACTTGGCCATAAAGCAGAGGGAATATTTAAACTTAATATCCTAGTGATGTGAGTTTAAGCACATATTTGTAAATAACAATCTACATATATGATATTAGTTTATTAAGTTTATTTGTTTTTAATGAGGGTCAGATCTGAAAGAAAAGTTACAAGTGTATAAAAATAAATGCCTTGACTGATCTAAGTAACAGACTTTAAGGATTGAGTTGATAAAAGTATTTCCAACTGTTAATGCTTTGTCTTGATTTAAGATGCATTCGAACACTGAAATCTGACATAGGAAGAAAAAAAAATCCTTTTCTATGACAGCTGTACACATAGCAGTGCACTCACTGCTTTATGTAGATGGGACTTCTTTCAATAAATTTGGATAGTGAATATAATATATATTTTTTTCTGAGGAGCACAGGATTAGCTTTTGATACGTACAGAGCATAGGTAAAATTCCTATGATGTTTCTAAAATCCTTTCTTTGTTAAAAAAAAAGTTCTTCAGATGAACAGCTTGGGGTTTCTTCTCCAAATTTTAAGGGCTTTTAAATATTAAAATAAATTGCATACTAACATATAACACAATATATTAAAAGATATGGAACTGTTAAATATCTTTTATTCCTCAACTAGGCAACTGCTATGGCTTGCTGTCCCTCCTCTGACAGTGTTGCTGTAGGAACCAAAAGAGGTCAAATCTATTTTCTTGATGTTACTGAAGTTGAAGCTCCACGGGTTGTTCACAGAATTTTTCTTTCCGAATTTCCAGTGCTGTCTTTGCAGTAAGTACGTAGTAGCAAGGGCAGGAATATTGTTAATTAGTTGCTTGGGTACTGCTCTTAGTCTAACAAAAAAATTGAAGTTTTTATTCTAAAAATAGCAAAGTAAAATATTGTAACAGCTTCGTTTTTCTCCCAACACATTCTGAATTGCTTGCAAGAGAAGTAGTAGCAGGATTTATATGAGAGAAATATATAAACTTGTATTTTAAGAAAGTTTAACAAAGCGTTGGAAGATACTGATGTATAAGATCCTTTCTGACAGATCACCATATGCAGTAATTATGTATCTGAGTTTAGAGGGTTATTTCTCATGGAATATAAATTTGAGGTTTTATGGAGTTAAGTTTAAGCTTTTTGGTCATCCCTTCTTATACATAACAGTGGCAACATAAATCCATTGTTAATTATTCATTTGCTCACAGTTCAGGAATTTACTAGTCCTTTTGTAAAAAGCTCTAGTGATCTAAAAAGCTCTTTTTGTTTGCTTGTTGTTTATTTCAGTTATTGAAGAATCTGAGAGTATTTTACTTCTACTTTTATAAAAAATATAATGGAGTTTGAACTGTTAAACTTCAGTGCAAATCTGCCTGGTTTTTGGAGACTCAGATGTCATCTCTTTTCTTAAAGAATAAATAAATAAATAAAACATTAAATATAGATACAGAAAGCAATTACTCAAACCAAATCAATGCAAACAAAAACATGCCTATTCAAAATAATAGCAAAATCTGTATAGTAGTTTTATTTTCAAAAGTGAACTTCAATGTGGATTATCATTAGCTTTAGCTTGACCACCCACTCAGTTAGAAATTGAACTTACAGCACTGGGCTTTATATCAAGCCCTAAATCTAAACCTAGAAGCTTAAACTTCAGTGTCATTTATGCCCTCAATAAAGTCAGAAGAGTTAGGGGAGTAGAATTATTTGAAGCTTTTTGAGTGTATTGAATTGTTTTCTACTTGGATTTATATTTAGTTATGATCAGAGTGGCCGCTTCCTCATCGCTAGAGCTATAGAAGGACATATCTTTATTCTAGATGCCCGGCCTTCAAAATTATTCCAAGTACTTGGATATGTAGGTAATATACGTAACAACATTAATTACATTGTTTTCCATAATTGCTGTATTTTAAGTATACTTGCTGGTCCGTCATTTTTGGAGGACTAAACATATTCTTCCCACCTATTTTACAATCCTATTTTGTCTTGGTCAATTCTTTTCTTTTCCTGTGGTTTTAGTCGGCAAATGCACCAATATTACCTTTCTTCAGGGTACGTATAAGTCACAGATAAGAGAATGGATTAGCTGACCAAACGAACACAACTCCAGCTCAAAACTAATAGTGCTCGCAGAGAATTTAAGGCCATTGTAGATTGCCATACAAGAATTTAGACTAAAAAACTGTAGATTGTGATGTCTGGGTGCAATCTCCTGTTACAAATGTCTGCCAGAGACATCTTTAACATGGGGACTGTTGGATTTGTCAGTTTGGCTGGTTGATACTGCAGAACAAAAAAAATATGGCATTTTAACTCACAAAAAAATTCTTATGAAATTTGTAAATTTGGTTATGCAGTCACTGAATTCCAGTGACATTATACTCACAGATCACATCTGCATATGTAGATCTTCTTCATAACTTTAAGTATAAGGGACATTTCTTCATAATTTTAATTGGTTTGGCAACTATAGAATTATATCTCCTTAGATAATTTTCAAAATTTGCCGGATCGTTTTCTCGTTGGCTGTCTGGCTTCTTAGAGAAGGGCTTTTCTGTGCTTTGGCGTGCAGTTACCAGCAGATGGCTTCAAGCTGGATGTAAACTCAGGTTGGAATGTTTAATGTAATACTAACACCCAATTCTCAGCACCCAATGCCTCCAACTGAAGGTGTGTGCATACAGCGCTTTCTGAAACCAGGCTGTGGCTTGTCTGATATTTTAACGTCAGTTCAAAACTGTGTGGTTGGGCTGAGATGTCGTCTGAACAAGGATCCTGTTTTGTTTCACATGATATTTTAGTACAAACAATGTTGCCATGCTTCAGTAATTATTTGTATTGATGTTCCCTACCTGCTTCAGTGTTGTCAGATGAAGCGCTGGATCTTTCTGTAGTTTCTGACTTCAATAATGACTTGGTTGAAGTAGTGGTGCTTCTTAATGTGGCAGAGGTCCAGCAAGCAAGACTGGAAATTTTTTGTCTGCCTTCAGCACTCACAACAGGTGAGAACTGAAATATATATTAAGTGGTATTTTTCTAAGACAAGAGCATGTTACAAAATACTAACATTCTTAATCTCTTTTTTCATCTCATCTGTCTGTTCTCTGAGGACACCATTTCTCGTACAGCATTCTGTAGACTTACAGTCAGCTGAATCATTTCAGCAGAAAGACTGTGATATTTTGAAGGAAAGCCAAGAAAGGAAGGAGAGAAGTAATTCACTTGCAGAATCACAAAGCAACCAATTTACTACTTCTGTCTGATTGCTGTTGTTATTGTAATTATTGCTACTGTGTGGGCAATATCCAAAGCCAGTCACAAAGAGGCTGGGGGCTTGGCCTTTATTACAGTTTTTCTCGATGAAAGCATCACAGAAAAAATCCACTGTTTTTGAAAAATATTAATTTGTATCACAGTAAGAAATGTTACAGAGAAATATTCTGTGAAAAAAAAAATGGCACTGAGGGAAAGGGGAGAGTTTTAAATTAATGCAGACAAATTGTCCCATCGCTGTGGTTAAACTGCTTCTAATACTTCTCTAGAGCTAGGAGAGCTATCTCTGCTTCACTGCAGTGTACTATATCAGCACAACCCACAGAGTTAAAGCTAAGTGTCTTAATTCCCAGTCTTCTCCCTGAAAAAAGGACATTACAGTCACTCCTTGCTAAGATTGATTTTCATAACTACTTGATAGGTAAAAGATTTGCATTAGTGGTGGTGATGCGTCTTCTTCTCTGTTTCTTTTTTCAATCTTTTAGATAATGATAAGTATGTTAATGCACGAGGAATGCTTAATGCTAGTGCCATTAAAAAGGAGCGATATGCTCTGGATTTCCCTTTGAGCTCAGCAGTTGGATTGAAGGATAACATTGTGTATGGCTACTGTACCTGTGCACCTTTCATCTGCAAATACCACCTCTCTGAAGAGGTAATTCTCTGAAGCTACTTTATTTTGGGTGGTGGTTAAATACCGGCAAACAAAAGCTGTAGTTGAAGTTAATATAGCAGGATATTATCTTAGAGAAATCCTCTCTGCACTAGAAATATCTGCCTCATCCATAAACATAAACTTTTGGTATCCTGCCACCTGCTCAGAAACCTGGCAAAGTGACCTCTTTGTGCTATTACAGAGAAAGCCAAATATTTGTTCTTAAAACTCCGACACCTTGCAGGTGCTTCACATGTCACTTCTGTATTGGAGCTGTGCTTTTGTGCAGTCTGAGCAACTCGAGTATCCTAGAGAAGGAATTGAGCCATTGGGAGCCTGTTACTCTTAAGACACAACTGCAAACCCAGTCCTGCCTCACGATGAAGTAGTAGTAGGGGGCCTTCAGGGAGCCACTGTCATTACCTGCTGATGAACTGGAGCTCTCTGCAGCTCCCAGGTCTCCCATAGTTTAAGACTCAGGTCAAGAAAGAAGGTGAATTCTGAAGGTGAGCATTTCTTCTTGACAAATCCTGTACTTTCTGAGCCAAGAAACTCTTAAGTCCAAACGTAGCGAACACAGATGCTTCTGAAGAGATGGGAAGTGGGTCAGCAGCACTGAGCTTCCTGAGCTTCCTGACCTCAGTATTCCAACAATGTTTTAAATTGCAAAGTTATAGCCTTCTCAAAATGCCATAGATATTTCCATCATCTGAACTGCTGCTAACGTTTTGTTTGTTTGGCAGAACGTGTCAGAAGACCCATCAATATTTTTATCAGAAAAGAGGACTCCTAGCAGGCAGTTTGGATCAGGTTTCCTCTGTTTGTCACCCAACAGCCAGTGGCTGGCGTCAGCAGCAAAGGATGGTGTTTTGTTCATCTATCATACTTCTACTATGGTAGGTGGGCATCCAGGCACAGGCTTTGGTTTACATGAGAAAGAGGTGTGAAAGCTACTTTCTTTCACTCTAAGCTTTCTTTCACTTGAATATAAAGTGTTCCAGAAAACTTAATACTGAACATGAACTACATAGCATTACACAGTACAAGTAATGAACGTATCTGTGATGATACAAACTACTTACTTTCTTTTCCAGTAAATCTTAAGATAGATAATTTTATTACTTTTCTTTATATCCTGCAAAAGGAATATACTAGAAACTTGCTCCATCTGTAGTCAAAAGTTTTAAACTCATAAATCCTAGTCTTTTATATATTTTGTATTGACTTTTGTCTAAAAATAAAGAAGCATAATTTACAGACATATTCCATTAGAAAAATGTATTTGCTGATACTGCTTCTGTGACTTTTCTAGGATATACTTGCTCAAATGCATTGTCACTCATATCAAGGAGGGGGAATCAGATCCATGGTATTTTCAATGGATGGCAAATTCATCCTCGTTACTGGTGAAAATGATGGTGCCCTGGTGTGTCTGAAATGGAAGTATGTATAAGTGGCAGACCAATATTGATGGTGTAAATTCTTGCATCTACTTGTGATTCAACACTTCCTTTTTATTAGTCTCAAAGTAATGACAAGAATTGGATAGAAAAAAAAATCACTCCTCTCATCTTTAGTGGCTGTCTCCCTGTTTCATGAAAAGTCTTGGACTTCAGGTATGGTTGTAATACAAGATATAGGAGTATCTTCAGGTAAGTATTGCCACCAGTGAGCTTCTTATCACTCTCAAATAACCCATCTGGAAGAGGCTCTCTGGGGATGTGAGGGATGTCATCTCATGAGATACTATTTTAACTTGGAGATTAGGAGACATCACAGCTTTAACAGGAATTCAGCTGTGGCTATAGAGAGCTCTTGGCAGACATTACGAGTAAGAGACACTTGAAACTACAGTTTTTCTGTGGTATAATAAATGTTCAGATAGATGCATAAAGACGAATCTGACAGAGCAGTATTTCTAACCTGGGTAATCCATCTTTCTGAATTTCTAATTCTGGGGAAACTTCACTTAATAATGAAATTCTAGAACTCAAATAATATTGCATCATCTGTAAAAATATTGATTATTAATAATTGTATTGTAAAGAATATTTAATACTTCATCCTCTTCTGTAATACACAAAAAATACATCAGTTCCCTTTTTTTTTACTAGGAACATAGAGAAAACTGAACTTAAGGAAGCTGCTGTTCACTGGCAATCTCTTCTTGCTATACTGAAAAAGTCTACTTCGAATGAAAATATTGTTTTAAAATCTATGGCAGAATGGCAGTTTGACCCAGAATCTGCATTGGAAACACTTCCAGAAGAGAAATTTAAGGTATTTTCTTTGTTTTTATGGGTGGGAAAAGTTTGATTATTACCCTAAAATTACACAATAAAAACTCTCCACCAAACAAACTCTGAACCTTTTCTGAAAGTAGAAGAATGCCCCTGAGTATAGGCTGAATATGTTTAATTATTAATTTGTGGAACAGTATTATCAAGGAAATGGAATATTTTTGGGAAGATGACATTCACATCTTCAGTTTCTCTTGCTTTCTTTAGAAAGTCAGTTTCTCCTCCTATGAAGTTATGTGTCATTCCCAGTGTGATGTTCCTGCTGTATTTTGTGTTAGTAGCCGATGTTTTTCTGTTGAAATCAAGCAAAGCAGTGATTGCAGAGATGGGCACAGTCAGCCCTTTTGAGTTAAGGCTTTGCATAATAGCAAGCGTTTGCAGGATCAAATCTGGAGACTGGTTAGGGAATAAAAATGCTGTAACACTCTGGAATTTGCTGATGATGTTGTTGCTTCTAATGTGAGTTCATTTTTTATTTCATTTCTGTCTCTCATTCTCTCCAATTACCTGAGATGGATGTTTATATGCTTAATTTCAGGAGGCACCACTTAAATCTTCCAGTTTAGAGGTGACAGAAGAAGATGGAAACGTCAGCAGTTTGTATTCAGCCAGTACCAATGACATGACATGGATAGGTCAGAAAATAAATAAGGTATTTTCATAGAACAAGAAGTAATCAAAGCCAGAGTTTCCAAGTGTCAGTAGCGATTTGAGGTCCCAAATTATGTGCTGTAAAGAAATCTAGTTTCTAAAGCTTTTCTGACATTTGAACCTCTCTTTAAGGCATTGTGATCTAGAATAACATGGGCCAGAATAACAAATTGTACAGCATTGATAAATCAATACTCAACAATATGACATTAATTACAAAACCTCTGAGGTTTATTTTAGGTTAAGGTTGAGGTGAATATGTTATGTAACCAAAGTAGAAGTGCCTCAAAGATCTAACTGTCTACAGAGAGGAGATTTAGTGCTTTGTGAGGCTGGAAACTCCTATGTTAATGTTAGTGTAGATTATTTTTTCCACAGAAATGTGAATTTATGGATGGTAGGAGATTCTTTCTGACATGAGCTGTGTCTTTCGTCCAGCTTTTGAGGTTCAAAATTTCATTGCTTTCTGGGTGGTCTCAGGGTTGCCTTTCCAAATTATAATGCAGTTTCACAAGTGGCTTAAGTCAGTCTAAGACATACTGCCACTGAAAGTAGCGTCTTCTCCATCACTTTCCCAGACATCTATTCCTGTTTCTGCTTTGGTGCTGGCACTCATGCCTTGGTGTCTCTACTGGGATTTTTTGGCAAGTCCATGTGAGCGTGCATGCATACCAGTGCCACATGGCTATTAGTATCAGCTAGGGATAGGTGATGAGAAGCAGAGGTTGAAAGGCAGCAGTGTGGTCCTGAGTTGTTTTAAGCTGCTTATTAACCTCCTAAGAGACTTGCATCTGACTTTTAGAGGATGGGGTCCATCCAGTGTTAGAATGATACACCCCTTCCTTTCAATCAATAGCCATTGGCCTACTTTAAGTTGTAAACTTACTTTAGAAAGCAAACTCCAGAGGTGCAGACTAATTACAATATTTTCCCTAAGAGATGAATTGGCAAAGCTGTACGGACAAAGAAAATCTCACAGCTTCCAGAATGAGTAACAAATGTTATTTTACTAGTGTCTTTAAATATCCCACTGGAAATGCTTAGTGACAATGAAAAATAAGCTCAAATTCTGGCAGTAGGCTTTATGCAGTTCAGTACGTCTGTAATAATTTCACTTGTAATTACGTCTTTCTTTAATATTTTCTTTCTTTTAAGCTCTATTGCTCTACAGCCAGTTTACAATGTGACCTGCTTGTACAGTCTTTTTTCTCTTGAGCAATTCTAAGAATCATCCTATTGAATCAAGATTAGGTCTATTTCATTTATTAATCTCTTTGGAGTTTTGTTTTCTGTACAGATAATATTCCTTTAGATTATTTCAATCTTTTTTTTCCTCTTCTTGTCTCTTTATGTCTTTCAACAATATATTTGTTGTATGTCAGGTCAATAGAGAAGAGACTCAGAGATTTGCTAACCAGAAGAAAGAGCTGCAAATGGGCATTAAACAGCTGCGTAAAACTGTGAGTTTCTTACAAGGGTAATGGCTCAGCTTACCATTTTTGTTTACAAGTACACTTCCTTTATGGTTATCAGCTCTAGTGCTCAGTCAAAATTTTGTCATAAACTCTATGCAGATAGGTAATAAAGAGGCATGTTTCTTCAGGGCCTATACGTTGAACCTGACAGGAACTACTGTCTGGTTCTCAGTTTCCTTTGCTCCAAATAAACATTTTGTACCACACTTATGCCCTGAGCAATCTGTCCCTCAGCAGGCTAGTTTCTGCCTGCCTAACAGCCTTCCAATATAGAAACTACTGGCCTATCCTCTCCCTTCTGTTTCTTTCCATAAAAACTCTTACCTGCAAGAGTTTGAGAAGGCAGAGGGTCACCCAGAGCAGTCTGCTCAGGAACATGCCCAGACATATTTTGATTATCTCCAAGGATGGAGATTGCATAACCTGTCTGGGGAATCTGTTCCAGTACATTTTACCAACTACCATGAACTGATTAGAAGTGGAGTCATGTAAAATAATCTCCTCTGATACCAAGATCTATAGTGTTAAAAATAGCATTTCTTCTATTCACATTGAAATTCCTCTTTATTCCTTACATTTATTTAAAAAAAACCAACAGATTCAGAAAATGATGCATGAAAATGAACAGGTGCCAGACATTGAGAAACTGGAGCATCAGGAATTCAACCTGGATATAGAAGAACAGCAAAGAGCACAAGCAGAGGCTGAGCAAGAAGTGGCCAGGGTATGACAGAATGGGGGAAGAACATTTTAAAACTACCAGTGAAAAGGAGAAAGCATGATTGAAGAACAGAGGGTGATCTCAAAGTTGATATTCACTGCTGAGAAGCAAGAAAACTTAGAAGTATTTAAAGTCACTTTTTGAAGTAGATGAAGCTGCTGGTACAGACATTGCCAACTGGAATATTATCTACGCTGGAAACTAAATCTGACACTGTAGCCTTGGGCATATTGGTTAAGTTCTGGAATGCTTTTCTTCACTTATAAAATGATGCTTTTCAGTAGTATGAAATACAGGTTTTTGATAAGATAGCTGTAATAGTCTAAGATGATAAAATATTGGTAATTAATTTCATCTGTTAGATTTCTTTAAATAACTCACAGCAAATGGCCCACATCTTGTTATTTTGCACCACATCTTGTTATTTTCTTCCCTGTATCTTGAAAGGTAAGGAAGGAGATTGAAATGGAGATTTTAGCCAACTGCTATTTACAGGATGTCATCAAACATGAATGCTGGGATTCCATGTGTGTAAAAGGACGTGCAATTAAGGTAACCTCTCCTTTCTAATTCATTTTCTGCAGTAGTTTGTTGAATCCTTAAAGCAAGGTTACCTTATTCTGATTTGTTTACAGTATGGGGAAAAGTTCTTCTTAGTTCTTCTCAGGACTCATGAAAATCTTTAATTCTGTTCATCTGAGCCTGGCTGATTTTACATTCTAAAGTGGATAAGAGTCCTGATAACCAAATAAGCAACTCTCTAATTCTTTGAAAACAGAGAAAATTTTATGCAATGTTGCTAAAAGGGGAGATAAGTGTTATTTTTCTGTGTGCAGTCAGCATGACTTCTGCTACACAGTACATAAAGGAAAAATTTAAGCTTCATTTTGCCTATTTTAAAGAGAGGGAGATTAGTCAAACTGATGATATTGGATTATCTCAAGGATAGTGAAAGAAGTCATTTTACAAAAAAATCTCGTTTTATCTGAATTCTGTTGAAAAAGAAGCCATATACATAGATTTTTTTATGAAAAAAGCAAATTTTAAACTACCATTTTTACTGCTGAGAAGTCAAGTGTTTTTTGTCTTGCTCCTGCATGTTTAATTGATCCTCAATTTTATTCCTGCTTTTAAGAAGTCTTTATAACTGCTTAGCATTCAGCTGTTGAACAAATGAGTTGATAGATGCATTTTTAAGAAATTTTTACTTTGAGTTTTTGTTTTCTTTTTTTTTATGTATAATTTGAACAGTGCTTCCATATGGCTTGTGAAGTGAAGAATTATCCACTGAAGGAACATAGTGAAGAAGAGCTGGAAGCTTTGGAGAAAGTTATCCAGTTAAAGAAGATTGAGACAGCTGATCTTAAGGTACTATCTCTTTGAAGTACTGCATAAAGGCATTTCAGACAAGGATGTTCTGAGATGGCATCTATTAAGATGGCTTCTTTACAAAGTTACATTTCTAAAGTCCATTTTCTTGCTGTAAAATTGTCAAAAAATATTTAACAATATGAAATGTTATGGGTTTACTCAGAACAGATGTATTAGTATTAAAGAATCACAGAATAGCTGAGATTAGAAGAGCCCTTTGAAAATCATCTAGTCCAGCCCTCCTAGAGCAATTTACTCAGGGCTGCATCTAGTCAGGTTTGGAATATCTCCAAGGATGGAAGATTCCATAACCTCTATGGGTTACCTGTTCTCATGTTTGACAACCCTCATAGGAAAAGTATTTTATTACGTTTAAGTTGGATGTCGTGTATTTTGATGTATACCCATCTCCCCTCAAACTGTCACTGAGCATCACTGAGAATAGGGTGGCTCTGTTGTCCTTACTCTCCACCATCAGGTTTTTATATGCATTACTAAAATCCTCCAAAGCCGCCTTCTTGAGGCTAAACAGTTTCAGCTCTCTCAGCCTGTCCTTGCATGTTAAATGCTTCAAACCCTTAACAGTATTAGTGCCCTATTACTGGACTTGTTCCAGTATACCCACATCTTTCTTGTACTGGAAAACCTACAAATGGACCCCATATTCCAGTCACAATAGTTTCAACTTGTATTATTTTGATCACTGAGCTTGACTGCAGAACATCATAACCTCTAGAATTTTTTCATACATGTGCCACCAGAATGAGTACAAAACTAACACAGCTATCGTGTTTGTGATATTCAGGTTCAGAAGAAAAATCTTGAGACTGAGTCTGAGACTGTATTACCTAAGGAAGAAGGAGAGAAGGCAGAAGAAGTAACGGCTGACAATAACACACCTTACAGCCTTATTGGAAGTCTGAGCTCTCAGTATGGTGGAGATACATCTCTCCTATACCACCAGTGGGACTTGCACACCAGGGAGCAGAAAATCAATCAGATCGTATTATTGAAGGTGATATCTTCTTAAGTTGGTACTACTGCAGTGACACTGTCACATCTGTTGGTTCTCACTGTGGTCACAGCCACTGTTAGAGTTACTGCGATGAAAGCTGATAAATGCACAGATTTGCCAGCTCAGGTCTGGAAGAAAAACATTTTTATGAAATCAGTTACCTAATTTGAGGGCATCTCTATTTACCCACTAGTGCTTCAGTTTAAGAGTTCGTATAGATAAAACTAGCTTGCAAATCTTGACATGCCCTGTCGGCGTGGCCTCTCTCCCTGTTATTTGCTGCTGAATGAAAGATGATCTGGATCTTCACACTACTTCCTTTCTCTCCAGTGTCACCATCTCTTCATTTGGGGTTTTCAATGTTTCTGTTATTCATTACTATCAGACTCTCTTACTTCTCTTACCTGACCAGTTGATTAAGTAGTAAACATGCTACAAAACAGGCTTCTCATGAAGATAAGTAAAAGGGTAGAAGTTCTTTGTTGAGAAGAATTTTTAAGCTGAAGGAGGAATTTTTATGCACTAAGAATATATGCGTTTTAAGATATTATATGGTCTCAGATGCTTAAAAAATCAGTTTCCAATGTTTATTTAATGGGCACACTTTGCTTACATATGTCAGACAGAAAATCACATGAAAGCATATTGAAAGTGCAGGCTGCATCACTTAAAATTCAGGAAAGTATGTCCTTAACTCTGCCTCCCTCCACCTGTGATTTACAATCTCTAGATTTACAGGTCACATGTTTTTTTTCTCTGAAGCACCACCTTCTTTCACCTGAAGAGTGCAAAAAGCAGCAAATAGAAGGTAGCCTAAATTTTTATCTAGTTTTGGCAGTAGGATGTTTCTTTTGCAATCTTTGTCAAATGGCAAAAATGCAGAAGAAAAGGAATAAAAATTTCTAGGAGAAGAAAAAGAAAAAACTGATTATTTTCTCACCTCCATTTAGCAAAACTCTGCCCTTGTGATTTTCACCAGTTTGTCTCCCTGTCACACATACAAATTACACACATTTCTGATTCTGATGGCTTGAGGAGTGGTATGTAATCATGGATGGATGTGACCTGTGCAGTATCGCTGTTTCCTTTTTTGGCATTTCAGGACATCATTTACAAAGTGAAAACTGCTTTTAATAAGGAATTTGACATAGTTGCACAACAAAAGGAACAGGAGATAGCACAAGTGAAAGGAAGAAACCTGAAGATCCAAGAAATCTCGGCACAGCTTGATCTCCAAGTGGATGTGTGGGAGCCAGCTCTTACAGATGATGAGATACCAGAGCGAGCACTCACTGTTCAGGACTCAGAGGTGTCTAAAGAATAAATCTTTCTCTTTCACCCCCTCAAATACAGTTCTCTAATTCTTCTCATTTCCAGACATTGTGTCAGTCATGAAAAGCCTTAAAACAGATGTGTCTGCGTACTTAAAATCATCTTTTTAATTCTTTTGCTTCCCTTCCCTTTTTAGGGAGAAAGCTCTTAATAAGTCAATCTGAGATGAATAAAATTTATACACTCTAAATTTTATCTCTGTTAAAAGTTTTTATTTGCCCATAAATTAGGTAGAAATTCTCCCTGTTCCTGACTATACAATTCGAACCAGGCATTATTTCCAGAGATAAAGGCTTCTCAGTTTTCTCTGTGTACCATTTTGAAACTAAGTAGTTTCAACTAAGCACCTAGGTACTAAAGCATACACAGTGCTGTACTTATAAATTCAATCGATAATTTATGAAGAAACACCATATTTCTCATACAATATATTCCACTGACCTCCTCTGCCTTTTTGGTCAGTCTTTTCCCACTTCTTTCTGCTCTCTCACTGTCAGAAAAGCTGTGCACAAAACACACCTATTTTCAACACAAATGATGGTAGTTTGTATTTTAGTATTTTAAAATATAACTCCTGAGGCTGTTCAAAAGAGCAGTTTTCTCCCTGAGGAATATTACCATAGAGCAGAGATACAAAACACATTAAGAATTAGTATTACATCATATTTCCAAGAGTTCTTAGTCCACACGTGATCATATTTGGAGAAAAGGACCCTGGTATTAACTTTATTTTCTTCCTTCAGATTAAAGCTGAAAAATATTTGACTCAACAAGAGAGAGAGAAAGCCGAGATGCTGGCTAAGCTTGAAATGGAAAAACACCTTGTTTCTACGGTACTTAAAGTAGTATCCTTTTTACTGAATAGGCCTTAGTCTCTAGTTAGGCTTACGTAGTTAATGCTACACTGGAATATTCCAGTAATGTATTATGGGAGGATGTATTATGGTAGGTAATTATGATGTGTACCTTTTCCCTTTTATTAATGCTTATGATCAGAACTACATAGACTAGCTGAGGGGAGAAAAGATTTGATGTTAGGCTCACAACTTTAAAAAAAATGAGTGTAGTGGCAATTAAAAATACCATTATCAGGTGACTGAGGACTAGATGCAGTGATAGACTTCTAAATGCATGCTACTGCTCAATCAAAAGCTTTGTGCTTGGTATTTCTTTGTTGACTGAGCAACCTTTATTCTTCAGGGATCAGACTAGAAGATCATGATGCTTTCCTCTGGCTTTGAAATGGATGTGTGAATAGCCTGAGGTGGTTTTGGTCCCAAAAGAGATGCACAATAGGACAGTGACACTACAGTTTCCTTCATCCTAGCCTGCCAACTGGCCAGGACTAGTCTATGCCTATGTATTCTTTTCAGAACCAGAATGGCAGTTTTAGTAGTTGTTTGGTATATGAACATCTGTCCACCGGAAAAAACTTTTAGAGTATTTCACATGCATCAGCGAAGAACATTAATCTACTGGTGACACACAGTATAATTGTATGGGTGATCCAGAGGTGAACTACCCTATTATTTTTCCCCAAACTTCCAATTACTACACTTCCTTTTGTACCCTAAAATGTTTCTGGTGGTCATTCCCAGGACGATGAAAGACTGCGTGCTCTTGATGACATGATGGGTGGAGTGCTAGAAGTCAAAAAGGAAGACATCTTGAAAATGGTGAGCTACGTTCCTGCCATATCATTTAGGTAGATTATGGGCTTTTAAGGAAATGTGAAATTCAACTAGCAAATATTTCCAGCCTAAGTGATAGAAGAAAGTCAGAGAACTGTAGAATTGTATTCTGCCTAGATGGACTCCAAAAAAAATTGTACACTGGACTCCGACAAGATCCCAAGATTCTAGTGCCTGCATATGATGTACCCATCAACACCTATCCCTGTCATAGTGGAATACTACAGGAACATAATCTAATATTGCCATTACAACCACTGTATTGCTGGGGGTCACGGCTGTCATCATATCCATGGGCTGTGATCTTACAGAAAAATACCATATTCCATTTAACTCAGCAAATATAGATAGCACAGTAGTAGAGGAAGGAAAGAATGTGAAGGAGTGTCGTCACAGAGAGAGGATACGGCAGACTCAAGCACTCTGCCCAGAATTGATCTGTTCTGGAAAATTAGGATTCCATTTAGAAGTACACATTGGCATGGAGTTAAATTTGGGGTTCTGAAACAGACAACTGTGGTATATCTTGTACTGTTAGTAGCATGTCTGACGACAAAATACTTGTATTTTACAAGATCCAGTAGTGAATTCCTGTAAGCAAGAGACAAGAGCACAATATATATACACCAGATATGACGCAAGTAACAGACGAGAGAAACAGAATATATATCTGTTACTTAGACTTGGGGCTTGTACCTTCCTTACCACTAGGAAATACCTTTCATTAAATTTGACACTTCCTATAGTTTGTGCTGCAGTCTTAATATTGCTTTTGAAGTATATTTGTCTTTAATACTTCCAGGATATTCCTCCACCTCCTTTTATATCCAAGCCTGAGAATGTTTGGAGTCATGAAGAAAAGAAAATATTTGAAGAACACGAGAAAAAAGTCAAGGAGCTGAATGAAGAAAAGGAGAAATATAGGAAGGTAAACTAAAATGAGAAAACAAGTGGTTTTGTTCACAGTGCTCATGACCAAAGCTTCTGATACTTCCCAAGAGCTACTTCTAAAAGTTAATACTAATAAATAGAAGAACAATTGAAGAACAAAGAACATGTTGTAGCTTAGACATGAAAATAAGACAATCTTTACTTATACCAGTTAGTAAGTGCCAAAAGTTGTGATAACTGACAAAAGGTAACTTTCCTTCACAAATGTACCAGTATTCCTAAAATGTTTTTTTCAGGTTCCATCCCCAGAGTTGCTGATACCATACCCATATAATAAAATTACATTTATCCTTCAGAGTGGTATGAGGACAACCTAACTTGGTAGCCTGGCAGCACTCTCCTTCCAAACAAGTAATATCTGGGACCTTGTGGTTGAAGGATATGGCTCCATATTGTGCATTCTCTTACATCTGATGTACTATATCATATCTTTGTTGTTTCTCTAGGTGTAATATTCCTTCTCTTGTCCTTCCCTTCCTCAGGCACTGGAAAATGAATTGAAGAAACTTCAAGATTCCATCCAGGAAACAACACGAAATTTTGATCAGACTGTGTGCAAACTCTCTGAAAGGAAAGTGAAATTAGAGATGGTCATCTATCAGGTAGCGCAGAGAATATTATTTGTCATCCTGTCTCTGTGCAGCAGGAACGTTAATATTTTTTATTACAATCATTTCACAGGAAGAGCTGAAAATAGTCAATCTTATTTACACATTACTGTTGGATGAAGAGTTGGACACTAGAGAAGCTGGACTGCATAATTTCCTAAAGAAAAAGGAGAAAGAAAAAGTAAGTTGTCATTTGAAATGCTGTTCTCAGGAAAAGTGTAATATTTACAATAGTTTCCTGTGAAGACTGCTCTTTCCAAATCAAAATTTTGCTATAAATTACTGACAATTTACAATGTCATTGAATTTTTTTTCAACTTGTACAGTTGACATACATTATAAATACATATATTTTTGAATAGATACTCATCTTGTTTCATCTGGAGTTCTTTGGTAAAACTCCTTACATTCAGAAGGACGTGCTGCTATTTTTTTGCTATATATATTTTTTATTATCCAGTGTCAAGCCGTAAGCAGCAATTGTGATGTTTTTATGATAAGAAGATGGGCAAAAGAATGTGTAATGCTGACACATTTTTCACGGAGTTGTCTGATGTTGGCCAGGGCCACGCTAACTTGTGGTTGCCAGTTCAAAACATAGACATTGGTGTGTGTATCTGCTCATGGAAGCAGAACATACAACAGAGTGCAAAGTGTTTATAGACCAATTTAATATCCTGAAGAGTTTGCCCATCCTGTCAAACCATATTCAAGTCAACAAAAGACTGGAGAGCACAAGTGGCAGGTGTGGATTTCAATACAAGCGCTTACAGCCCACAGCAATAATTCTGAGTTCTGATTCCTGTGTCCTGCCAATACTTGTGTGACTCAGGTCGTCTGAGTGACGGGAATCCTCAGGTTGGTTCTGACTCTTGGGGCAACATTATCCCATTTGCGCCCACTTTGTCTTCGTGGAGCTGTTCCCGAGTCCACAGATAACGTACTGATGCCAGATCTCCTACTGGACCTGTGCAGACCTCTGCGTTTGAGGCTGCAAGCAGCTGTTTATAAGTGAGCTACAGGAAGAGGTTCCAAAGCCCCTTCCAGTGAGTTGGCTGAACTAGTTTTACAATTATCCGAGACCAAGTGTATACCAGCTTACATTAGTCAAAAGATGTCTTTTGTTTCTAAAATCGTCCAGATGTTCCCATTTTTGGTCCAGACTGTGAAACAGAACAAAATTGTCTCCCAAGCACAGTATAAGCTTCTATTAGGCTCAGTAAAACATAAATGTAATATCCTGATATGTAGCAGAACTATGTCATGACAATAGAGAAACTGCATTCTAAAATGAAAAACACGTTTGAGAATTTTTGATTGGTCTTACTTGTGATGACATGAAAGGAAAAGGAGCTCTCTATGCAATTGAAAGCAAGTATCAGCATAAGTCTTTACATGAAAAGTTTAAAAAGGAGACTTGTAAGCATTTGTATAAAATACTTCTTACACAAATTTCTTACTTTCTTAAGAAGTCGACTACTTAATTTCACAGCTGCTCATCTTTTAGCAGTATCTAAAAATAACCCCCTGAAGAAGGTATTTTATTGCTAGTAAAAACAGCTCATGAGGTTTTCTCTAGAAATAAGAAAGTTTCAGTTTCATCAGTATATATGAGTGGCCATTCAGTGCTTCTGCTGGTTGAGTTTCATTCCTGAAATCTTTTTGGTTTTGCTGTAGGTCAAGACTGCAAGAACAGTCCAGAGTACAAAAAATAAAATTGAGGCTTACATAGACACCTATGATAAGGCAGTAATTGAAGAGAAGGTGAGACTTTTGATGAACACAAGGAAGTTCAGAAATTAAAAAGTTAATTTTGTGTCTTGATATGAGAAGATCGTACTTCACTCTAAGTGTGGGACCAGTTCTTGTCAACTTACTTAAATTAAGCACTAAAAGAGAATATATGCATAGAAGAATTTATGAAATAGTCCAGATTCCCGTGATGCTTCAGAACACTTGGAAGAGCACTGCATTCTGTGTTTCCAAGGTATGGGCAGGTTGCTGCTTTTGAAAAATAACATTGCAGTAACAAGAAGTCTTCTGCTCTCTCTCATAGAATCTGGAATGTGGTTTTACAAAGGAGTTTGCTGATGTACCTGCCAATCTCCTTGATGAACTTTTCAAACTTTACAGCCATCGACCAAAGTAAGATCCCCCTTGATTCCATCTGTTTAAATACTAATATTTCTTGTGAGTCAAGAACAAGAATGCTGTTTGCTTCAACAGCCTAAATTATTTTAATGGTACACTGCTTGCTTTTTATTGGATAGTTAACAATGGTTGATTTGTTACCATACTAAGGACATTTTGAGTACCCACATTTCCTTATTCATCCCACACAATCTATTTTAAATGCAAGCTAAATAATCACCAGGTCTCAAAACTGTATGCTCTTATTTTGTGTAAGATACAGTCTTACCTATTTGCTCTTTGCAATAGTATGAAATGTTCTCAGTTGTTTTGTGAGCTTCTTTTATGCAAGAGAAAATAAAAAGTAAATACTGTATGTACTGTGTAGGTGCACTAGGACCCCAATGACAGAAGTGCTCCTCGACACTGCTAACCCCTATGGGGATTGTTCAGGCTCAGCTGAAGATTACAAAGAGGCACTTTCCCTTTTAATGAAAGCCATGGATGAACTGGATACTCCTGAGCACATGCCTAATGGCTTAGACCTGACTACATGGAAACATTTTTGTCTAGCTAGACGAAATAAAATGGAGGCTGAGGAGCTGGTATGTAAAAATCTTTATTTTGCCAGTACGTTGCCATTTTCTGTGAAGTTCAGGTGTAGGATCAAGCTAGCAGTGAAATGACAATGCAGCATACATAAGATGCGTTGGAGTTTGAAAATTGCTTCTGGCCACATTCAGTTTGGAATAATAGAAATGTCATCAAGGGAAACCAGCTCTAGTTCTCTTTCAGTTGAAAAAATAGCATATTAATGTGGATGGATTTGATCAGAATGATTTTGGCCTTGGTATGGTCTCATCACATAATAATAAAAAAATATATTATTTTCTTTTTCTCTATCCACACCAAAAACTGGTAAGCTATTTGATTTCCATCATCTGTTGGAGTCATGTTCTCCTGGTAGTATTCTGCATTTGCACAAATGCATCCTCATATTTTTCTAGAACATCAAGAGCAATTCTTAACAAAAGGTGTTCCTGGGAAGTTCTAGCAAGCTGTTTTCAGTTTAAAAGCATGAAGATGTAAGTGTGAATTATCCAGAGACAGATACGTGACCTTTGACCAAAGAGAGAATGAAATATGATTTTCCTTCATGTGAATAAACTATGCATAAATGAATAAATAATCTTCTGAGCAGAGTGTAAGGACTGTAACCTCTACATCTCATGTGCTCTTTTGGGATTCTCAGAATACCAGGCTGCATATTTATATATCTATATTTGTTCTTGAAGAGACTTAGCGCGACATACTGACAAAGGTGAAAAAGTTCAGAATGTCATATGTTACTTGTTTAGGTGAAACGAAAGGCCCTAATAGTGGCAGAAATGCATGCCTTTCTCCAGAGAAGAATGGATGATAATGAGAAGATCAAGTCAGAAATAGAAGACATTTTCCAAGAACTCATTTGGTAATTCTGTTTCTTTTCCTATGTTCAGCTGCACGTTAATATTCTACCAACACAGAACCAAAAATTACACAGAGAATGACAGAGCTGTGTGCTCCAACACTCTTTTATCTAGAGACCTATGGTATTTCTGACATAAAGTACAATTGCAGCACATGTGAGCAGGTCAAACCAGTCTTAATGTACCACCTAAGTAACAACATGAAGAAGCGTGGCAGCATGGTCCTCAGTGCAAATTGACTGCCCCAAAAGCTAGATTGTACAGTGAATCCCCCAAAGCCTTCATGGCTATACCTGTGCTAGCTAACTCAGCTAAATTTTGCTCGTCTAGGTCTAAGACACACTGATCAGTCCTAATTGCAATATGCCGTGTGAGACCTGACTTCACTGAGCTGCTTGGATCTGCAATACTTAATTTTTTCATGTATATGACATAATTTTCACATTCCTTGTCATTCAGGAGCAAACCCCAGGATAAATTATACGAGAAAATGGGTGCTGGCTGGGAGTCTCCTGCATTTGCTTTTCAGTTGTTGTTAGGCTTTCTGTTCAGTAACAACACTTTCTCTCCGAACAGCTGCTAGAGTACGTTAAACTGGATCCAGTGGTTGAAACCTTTATGTATGGAAATAAGTTGAAGATTCTGTAGCCATGTTGGGAGCAAACAGAAGACAGGCTGTCAGAGAGTACCTGCCACATAAACATACCACTTACCAGTAACAAATATAAACATTCTGGGAATCATGGGAGGATTTATATAATCCTGTGAAAATCACTAAAATTTGGTTTTGTTTTCTGCCATTTTAGGCTGCAGGAGGAGAAGATGAAACTTCAAGTGAATTTGACTATCCAGTTTTTGCTGAAACAAGGACAGGTGGAATTGGAAAGTACTGAGATCCCAGACTACACTGATGCCATTCTCATTAATAAGAGTGTTGTTGAAGAACTGAATCATGCTATCAAGGTAATTTACATTATTCAAAGGAAATGTAAGCTTTTTAAAAAAATGTATTGTCCTTCAGGGGCTCTGCTTTTTGTCCAGTTTGACATCTAGTTTCAATTCATTACTACACACCAGTTGGCCCCATTGTAATCTAGAAGCTATTAAGAATTCTGTAATGTCTTTTATCGTGATGTAAAGATTGCAATACAGAGTGCTTGCTTGGCGTTTCATCAATACAGCTCAGACCAATGAAATGCAACAGATTTTAGACACACTGTTGCTTACAGACATGTTGTAAATAGAAAATGCTAATATCCTGGGCACCAGTCCAAAAATTCTCTCAAGGCAAACATACAGTCATGTTAAGAAGCATTTGAACAGTAGCTTACATTAATTAAAACACTTCTTTATGTAAGGCAAAATTGGTGATCATACTTAAAACAGTTTTTCATACTCTCATTAAACGTTCTTTTTTTAGGCATTCTAGCTGTACAGAAATTGCTTCTTACTGCCACTGCATAAAGCCTTCAGTAACCACTGCAAAATACCTTACATAGAGCAAGCTTGTATTTTGTAGAGCTAAAATGTCTTCATATTTTTATAAAAGATAGAAAGATGGGGAGAGAGGTTAGTTGTAGTTTTCTTCATCTCCTTCTGTGATCTAAGGCTGTGCACAGAGCATAAAAGGGAACAAAATTCCACAAAAGAGAACCATCTGGAGCTGAGTCTGGAAAAAGACTGCAGTATAGCATGTTTTCCTTACTAAAATTATAACTTTAGAGGCTTGCCCATGTTGTTGCAAATAATTATTCCATAATCTGTCAAGTGTGTTAATTAAGATTAATCTATTTATTTCAGGCTCAAGGAGAGAAAAAAATTGCTAGTATGGTGGAATGTAAAGACTACTCTGAAGGGATATTTCACTTGGAATGGGAACACAGGAAAATGAGAATGCAGATAGAAGACCTGAAACAGAAGGCTCAGGATATTGTAACACTACCTATTTCAAAAGATCGCCAGCTAGTGAGTTACTTTCTTTAATTTGTATTTTGACTGCAGAAAATTTTTCTGGTTATGCCTGATAGGCCAAGAATTCAGCTTTCGAAGGGAAATTCCACTCTTGATATTGATCAGTGATGAAGTTCTCTGGGATATTCAGGTGTAAACGAAGGCAAAATTAGCCCTCTTAGTGTTTCAAAATTAGCACTGACAGTAAAGAATCAGGCTTTTGCAGCCACAAGGAATAGATTTTTAAAATCAAGCATCAGGACTTCCTTTCAAGTGAAAGGTCTGAGGTGCCCCCATCTGGTAATTCACAGAAATACCGCAACTTTTGCTCAGTTTACAAAGACTGAGTGTTTCTACAGAAGCCTCGCTGAGCTCCACTCCCTGCCATTTGTTGGCCCAGCAGCGGAGCGACAGGGAATCATTTGCCATGCCTGGCAGGCAAGAGGCAGCAGCTGGCCAGCAAGTCAGCACCCCCGTAGCTCTGAACAAGCCCAGCCGGCAGGCCAGAAACCGTGGGTAAAGGAGAGAGCCAAGGGTACCAGAGCTCAGGTGGCTACATTTGTTTTGCTCCTCTCCAAACTGCCTATTCACTTCTGAATCACAGCCAAGAGGCTTCCATAACTAAAACCAACCAAATATCATTCCAGAGTGGTGATGGGACAACACACTAAAAAGTTCTTGTAGCAAATTTAGCACCAGAGTGTTCCATTACCTCAAACTTCATTTAAACTTACAACCAGGACTGCTGCCCATTCAGAGAGTTAGACTTGGCTGTAGCAAAGCTATATACCAGTTGAATCAGAATTGGAATCCTCCGAGGGGCTTGACTTCACTTTTGGAGTGGAAATGTGAGGATAGTAGGAAAGAGAAGGCAACAGAGACCCCAACAATAGAAACAGAAGGAAAGGTGGCTTAGATAAATGTGTGAGAGTAAGGACCTGAGTACACTGGGAATGAGAGGGCTATTAGTGAAGAAGTGCTTGGAAGCAGTTTGGTGCTGCAGGCAGGGAGCCTCCTGAGCCTTTCCTGGTTCTCCCCATCTAACCAGAGCAGTCCACAAAATGTTACCTGTCACTCTCGTGGGGCAGTACTCTGGAAAGATGAATCTACCTCTACAGAAATCTGTCTGCTGCCCATTAGAGGCCATATAGCCTGTTTTACCATTTGTCATTTGATGAAAAGGTATTTCCATACAGGGTGCTCAAGAAAAAATCTTCAATAAGTTCTCTGAAACCTGAATTACTATGCTGACAAAAGAACAATAGAAGTAAGAATTATTAGGAAGCCACTTGATAGAAAATAATCGCTTTCCTCTCTCACCTAAAGACAGCCTGTATGACACTTTGGCCTCCAGTTGTATTAATTTAGCAAAGCAAAAGCATAGCTTGCATTTTCTGAAAACCTCACAACAAATTTGCTGGGTTTTCCGTTAAAACATAATAGATAATGATCTTTTCAACAGCTGTACAGTCTACTATTCACACCGTATCCAAGAATATCTTTACAACATCCATTTATGATCACTAGTAAACCTTTCCCCTGTGCAGAATTCTAGTTTTGTGAGTTTCACATAGTAAGACTGTCTTTACGGAACTGTGGAATTGTTGAGAAAATACAGGCTTAATAAGATGGTTTCTTTCTGTTTTTAATTCTTCAGTTCCTAACTATGCTGAATTATGACAGTCACATAGCCTACAACATTTCAGTGATGGAGCAGACTCTTGGTGTCCTGGATGAGGTAAATCCTAACTGAACTACCACATTTGAGAGAGACATCCTTAATTTAAATGTAACACTTGTCCTTTGTTAGTAAGAGGTGTTTTTAAGGAATAAGCACAACTGATACAGGCGTGCTAACTCAAGGACTGTTGGAGCATAGCCATAACAGCACACACAGATGAGTATGTACTTATATCCACGTATTTATTCATATGGCTTTCAATTGTTTCTTGAATTTGCACTGAGCTGTCTACAGCAGCAGTTCTCTAAACTCCTTGGAAGCAGTCACCATACATGGATTGCTGCAGAGATCAGTCCTATGGAGAAAAGTCTACTTGCTCTGTTGCTGGAATTAAATGCTTTCTTCCTGCACATCTGAATGCATATCTTAGTGTTTCTTACATAGCATCGCCTATAAAAGTCACTCTTCCATTCCTAATAAAGCATTCTTCCAGTCTTCACTGCTTACTGTTTCTTCTCTCCAGGAGCACCAGCCTGTTCGTAGTATCACTACTCCCTATATTCAAAATAAGAGACACAACAATCTGATCTGCTGGCGCTGTCATCTATTTCAACATTCCAATTATGATTATCCTTGTTTTCAAGTGATACCACTGGATTTTCTCCAGGTTGCTCGAGTTGGCATCAGCTTCCTCTTCAAGCTTTATTATTTATCTGGTTCTTTACAGCCCAGCTGACAGCTTCAGCAAAGCAACTCCTTCTTCAGCAGCCAAGAGTGTGTTCTCAACTCACTGATTCCACTGACTTCTTTTCCTTCCTTTGCCTTTCAAGTTTTATCTTTAAAATGTCTCTCCCCCTGACCCATACCTCTTGTTCCTTGTCTGGTACTTATACTAGAACTCCATGAAGCATACTGGAACATAGCATGTGTGAAAGATACCATATGAAGTAACGCTAGCATGTACTACTAGTCAGATCAAAATACACGAAAGTTTATGAGCTGCAATGCAGGGCTTAGGTTCCCAATATAAATTTGCCTGAACAACTTTTATATAATCTCATATATTTGCTTTATTCATTTGAAAATGGACAGCTGCACAAGAAGAATGTGAAGAACCGTAAGAAAAGAATTAAACAGTTGGAGAAGTGCATCAGTTTAAAGGAGCAAGCAAACTACAAGCTCAGCCTGGAGCTGAAAGAAATGCTTGTCTCTGTTTCAGAAAGGAGGCATATCTTTAAGGCAGGCGGTGAGTCTCTGTAATGCACTTAAGTCATAAGCAAAGAACATTCAGAAAATATCTCCAAAGCTGTGTAGAACTGTTCTCTGTCAGCATCAGCTAAGGGGCAAGGAGCACCAATTTATTTCTTTATGTGCACAACTAGCAGTGCCCTTACTACTACAGCAGTTTAACATTGTTTGATTAAAGTGCATACCTAGAGTGTTGCTCTTGTCACTGAAGTTAACTGACTAAATTGCTGAAACTAAGTCATTAATATCTTCATTAGGCAACATGCTTCATTCTTTCTCAGAATGGTTCAACCATTTCTTTCAACCACCCACTGAAGGGAACAGAGGAAGTAACCACAGAGAAGGGTATTCATTATTAGGAAAACTGCAGAGATCCTTCTACTAGTGGAAAAATTACAGTTTTTCAAAACAGTGGGTACTTGTCTGGGAAGCATGCCCAGTGCCTTTCTGAATCATTTTGCTTTATTCAGTACTTAAGCCCAACTGTGAGCATTTTTAAAAAGCTTGCCTATTTTATACAGAACTTGGAATACAGAAACAGGACAGGTCTAAGCACAGGCTAACCCTTATATTCTGTTGTATGCAGACACACGGCATATTTCGGAAAAGATTGCAAAACAGCGCTACCGAGAGATTCTGAAGCAGAAACACCTACGCAGTCTTGTAAAGGAACAGGAAGAACAGTTTGAAGTTCTTCATGCAGAAGCTCAAAGACTGAGATCAAGAACATTCCCAGTTATTTAAAGAACAGAGTCCAGGTAGATGTATAATACCATGGTCCTGTATAAAAAAAAAAAAATGTTGGACATCTACCTTTGTCCCTGAACATTTCTTTTTACAAATGATTTCTTCTGTAATTTCTTTAAAAATAACTTCAGTTTGAAAGATGTATGTTTGTCTGTTTTGTACATTTTATGCCTAGTCTTAGCCTCATTTTAATTCAGTTCATGAGATTTATTTCTGCTGTTTTGATTATATAAACCACATAGCTCATTAGAAAAAACAGGGTACAAGAAATTGCAGACTGATTGAAAACCAGGTGTATTTCTATGTCCTTAGTCTGCAATATGCAATTGTAGAACATTTTGAAGGTGAAGTACTGAAAAAAAAAATCTGTATTTACATCTGCTAAAATTCATGTCTGTAGCTTTGGCTTCATTTTGCTTTTTAAAATATATTTACACCTGTAATAGCACAGGTGTAGGCTGCCAAGATGAAGATATACTTCAGCATGACCATGTGTGCTATCTGGCCCAGGCCCAAAAGCTGCTGTGCCTTATGATAGCATAATTAGCCAGAGTCAAGAGTAGCTGTGGCTGGGGGCACTGGCAGAATCACAGGAAATCCAAGTTTGGAAGCATCTGGCCTCCTGAAATAGTTCACATTGATATGTGTTGTCTCTCCTGCCAGATCTCTCCAACATAGCTAAGAAAGATAAAGAACCCTTGATAAACTTAACTACTGATGGAGACTGATCTGTCTACTCAGGCATTCTCACTAATTTTTATTTTCCTCTTCCATGGTGCTTGTTAATTCTTCTCCTTTGATAAATTCCTGTAAAATCTAAATTCATTTCATTGTGAGAGCATTAATAGCTTTGATACCTTAGTTTCATTAATAGCTTTAAGACCTTAGTCTAAGAAAATTCTACACTTGTAAGGAAAATTACTTGTGATCTTGTACACCACCTCCTTTTTTGCTTTATCATCTCTAACTGGGGCCTGTAAGGATTCTAATTACATCTCCATTCTTCTTGCAAGATGTTTTTCTTCCTGCTTAAACTTCCCTAGCAGCAGCACAGTTCCAAATTTGCCAAAGATCTCAGGGAAGAGAACCACCCCCTTCACCGGCATCATCATCTTTTTTTACTAACCTAGAGAGACAGAAGAAACAGTGTCTTAATACTCAATAAATGTGATAAATTAGCAATAAAGTTTGTTGTTCATTAATTCTTGGGGGACAGCAACAATCAGTATTCTCAAGAGCAAGCTGTGGGTCTAGATTTAAGTCTACTGCATCCTATCAGTGTTAAAGGGGTCTGTATGATCTTTGAATTTCTTTCCCTCAAGATATGTAAGAAATTACTTCCTTAGTAAGAAAGTAGAAAATGTCACCTGTAAACAAAACAGTTAAGGTACAATCAATAAGGAATGTGATCACATACAAAACAATATTCATAGCAAATAGCAGAGAGAGCTGTAGAGTAACAAAAGCAGACAGAAGTCACCACCCTATAGGCATAGGCCATGGTGAGAAAATAAGCAATTTCAAGTCAAGATAAAAAAAAAAATTTTTAGAAGACAAGATTTATTGGAAGATAAGTGAAATGCTGAAGTTTTATTCAGCTTTATGATGCTGAATTTGAAGCACTCCCATAAGCCCTTGTTTTCCTTATTTATCTGAAAAGAGGAAACACCTTGGCTCTCATGAAGTAGTAGACAGATGGTGGTTACAATTTTTTTTGCCTTCCCTTCTATTATCTCTGGCTGTGCCAGAATGCTTAAGACAGAGCTTCCCTGAAAACAATTGTCTGGACCAGTATCTGAAAATGACTGCATTATGGCACATTTTCACAGTAATAATTAAAATTATTGAGAACATCTTATTGCAGCTTCAGAATATTAACAACATGAAAATTAACCATCTTTACTTAACGTGCAAAATGCTGTCATTAACTGTCTGGCAGCAGGAAGACATCTGTAAAATGGAGACGTAGATCTGAAAAAGGAACCGAACTCTTCTCCATCTGAACATCAACAGAAATGACAGTTAATTTGAGTTCAGTACTTCAAGACAAGTAACCATGCAAACACCAATCAAAGAATGGACAGCCTTCTACCTATTAAAGTATGACTTGATTTAATTTTAATTTTATTAAATAATAATTCACTGATCAAGTGAAGCCAGGTTTTCCAAAACAGCATGAGTTCAATCTTTTCCATTAAATAATGTCTTTTACAGCCCCTACTGTATCTAAGTACATAGCTTTACAAGTACCTCCTGAGAAAACCTCCTACCCTCACAGCATCAAGTTCACTGTCTGATCAACACTTTTTATGTGATCAGAACTCATCCAGTCGTTTCTGGTTTTGCATGTGTGTAATTGAAAGCTTTGCACCTTTTGCTACATTTTTTGTAGCTTACAGATCTACAAAATCTTCTTCTGTTCTGCTGTAGTGCAATAACTGGTCTTCTAATCCAAAAGTATCTATCAGCTGACTGAGACTCACTTTCTTGCCATCTGCAGAGAAGGCTGACTGTAGTTCGTACAGCATCAGCTGGGTGCTACTTCTCCATTTCACTATCAAAGCTTGCAGTTCAGACAGGTTGTTCTGAAATCGGGACAAAAAGAGAAAAAAAATTGTCATGTGCTGAAATGTGGGATTTTTTTTGATACCCTGCAGATCTGTTTTATATAACGCCTTAAACTGAGACAATACACTAACACTACACCCACCAAAAAAAGCTGAGCCAATACTGTTGCTTAAATTAATAAATGAGGATTATACCATGAATTACTCTTCAAAAAAAACAACTTAAAAGAGCTTCTTTAGAGGTTTGCCTCACCTTAGATCGATACATCTTAACTAGTTTGAGCCTTCGAAGCAGTTCTTCCTTCTCTTGCACTTGTTTCACCAGCCTTACTTTTTCTTCCAGGGATGGTTGCTGACTAAGTTCACCTTGTAGCACATCAGAATTCTCTGCTGATCTACAGAGACCACTCTCCTGTAAGGAATTTTTGAAACATGTCTGTCCAGTACCATTTTTTTCCAGGTTTTCAGAACCATCTTCTAATCTGGAACAGTCTGTACTTGTCTTTGGCAGGCACCCTTTGTCAGCATCAGCAGAGTCTTTTTCCTCAGTGTCTATTTTGAGTCGCTTTGCTACCGTAAAATTAGCATTAAATGAACGTCTTGTTTTCCTTAATCGCTCCCTCAGAGCTGCGCTCATTGGCTGAAAAGAAATAAAATAAATAAAAAGCCCAGATCCATCAGAATAATCTAATTTTTGATCAAAGAACCATTTACCCTGGTTATTATTTATCCAGAATATGTCATATATGTAAACATTACTGTACAGTCAGATTTCCTAATTCTCTCTATACCTTTCACAAACTTGAAAAAAGTTAACTTCTTCCTTTCAGAAGTATCTGCACACACAGCTGTAAGATATGGAAATATGTAGATCCACGTTTCCTAGGAGTAAATTCTATTGAGGCAAACCTGCTCATCTAGCCTTTGTGCAGAAGGTACACAGCGTATTTCAACTTGGCTAATTTCATTCCGTCAAGCTCAATTTCCCCCTCTAGTTTAATGGAGATAAGGGTTTGGGTTTTTTGCTGTTACATCTCACCACATGTACACTTCCTGTATTAACACTAGTATAAAACATCTGTATTCTACTTGAAAGTATTAGAAATTATCTACATAATTTTGACTTGTTCATGCTGTGAGATCCTTCGCTGATAAGCATCTAAAAAGTGGTAGGTATTTTTTTCCTTCAAAAGAATTTAACAATTATTTTTTATAATCTGTGTCTAACATTCTTACCTGAGAAAATATACTAAAATATGGGAGAGAGGGATTAGTAAAGGAACCCTTGCAAACCAGCCCTATCCTGCCTCGGTGTGGACGCTGAGCGACAGCATCACCATAACACATGATAGGATGAACACCAAAGCAGAGCTCAGCATTATGGAGAATATTACGGAGAATATGCAACCTGCAAGCAGTGTACTTTGTTCAAGGGCAACCAGAAGTCACGGAAAGTAAGATTTGAGAAAACTGAAGATGACAGACTAAAAAAAACCACAACCCACTGTAAACTCTAAATAGTATTTATTAGTACAGCATTTGGGTTATACTGCTCCATCACTTTGTATTCACAGCAAACATCTGCATATTCAGAGCAAAGTATACCGAGGACATTCCTCACCTGGACAGCCTTGTAGCTATGGGCATAAGCTTCAGCCTTCCAGAAAACAGTATCTCAGAGAGTTCTGACTACTTGATGATTTCACAAGCATTTGTATTACCAAGAAGAGTCACATTTTTTGAAAAACAAATAAGTTTTCATACCTGTTTCCCTGAACTAGGCCCCTGTGGAGCTGCTGTCCCAGAATCCTTTGGAGTATGGCACAAAGACGGCAATTTATCAAGCACTGGTTCTTCCATCTCGAGACAAATAGCGGTTTCTGTTAAAAGACAGAATGAATTACACATAGTGCCATTTTCACCTGATTATAATGAGCTGTGTGCTGCAGAAATGAGTAAAAAGTTCTACTAAATACTAAGTCTTATTTTCTAATTAGTAAATTCAAAAAAGACATCTCTATTAGTTACACAATGACAATGAATGAAACTACTAACTCATATAAAGTATATAATGAATTTTGTATATTATTTTCCCTCACTTATAAAGCTCTATGTTTTTTTCTTTAGAGATGAAAAATACCGTAAGTCTTACAGATATTCTCCATTATATATTTTTTCTATCTGATATGCTTTTTCAAGTGTTAAAAAGGAGCAAGAAAACTTATGAAGCAATCAAACCCAACAGAGTATGCCTATAAATCAAAGATCAGATCCTGCAACATCAGACTCAAAGAAAGCTCACTTCAAATAAACTGTATTTTCATAAGCTGAATCACCCTTACAGATGCAAAGGAATAATCCTTACTAAGCCAGGTTGTGAAGAACCAGTCCTTTCATTTTCCACATAGTGATAAAAGAATTTTTGGGAGC